TTTACATTGAGAATCATAGTTCGTCTGATTAATATTAAAGAATTCAGTCCGTACCGCGAAGAAAACACCGCACTTCACTATTACAAAGATCGAATGGTTAACGCTGTTTAAGGAAATAATCGCTTTTTACATTGAGAATCATAGTTCGTCTGATTAATATTAAAGAATTCAGACCGTACCGCGAAGAAAACACCGCACTTCACCATTACAAAGATCGACTTGTTAACGCTGTTTAAGGATTTAATCGCTGTTTACACTGAGAAACATACGAAACGAAAAATAGACAGTTTCCGGTCGTTGAAACAGTCGGGACATTCACTTACCGTCGGGCTTCAAAACATTTAATCCAGTCACACTCTACTTATTTAAGATTAATTTTAATATTATCTTATAATTTTTCGGGGCGTACAAAGTTTTTTTTTTCCTTCTGTAATCTAGGTACTTCAGAAATACTCCATTTTATAATTTTAAATTAATTACTAATCTCCATATTCTTCTTGTCTGACATCGCTTTGGATCAAGGCATTTTTATTAAACTTGAGGTGTACGTGGCGTATTAAATTTTTAATTAAAACGATAAAATCTATAAAACTGGCAAAGCGATGTCACCTACAACTTTCATGTAACCTTCAGATTAGAGGTAAATACCACGCACAGCTGGCCTTCGGTCAGCGAACATCTTGCAGTTCCTGGAACTCTCTAGTCTTAGCTTGTTTTCCTCAGACGCACCAAAGTTTCGCTTTGTTATTATAAACAGGGCGTGGCACCAGCGAATTCTCTTCTGAAATACATACGTCCACAACCAGAAACGTTATTGCCGTGAAATTGTCAGTGTACTTACGATTTGCATGATGCCTTTTGATGTATCAGGAGAACCTCCTTTGATGGAATGAATTATTTGAGGGTAAGAGAATCAACTTTTATAAGTGCACCGATTGTTACAAAATGTTTGTTTTGATGTTGTTATCATAACAACTGTTTCCAAAATAGCAGAGATGTTGCATTACAGTTTTGTCACAAAGGAAAGTTGTGGATTTCTTGTGCGTGGAGCAAGAACCAAACATTGCAATGCAAGTTACATAAGAGCAGAACGCAAATTAAATAAAATAAATATCGAATATTTCGATAAAGAACATCATTTAATATTTTAAATATTTTAAATGTTAATTATGTAATATTTTAATATTTAATAAGAATTTATTGTGATTAGACGGACAAGATTTAATATATACTTAATATAAACAGAGCAGCCCTAACTCATATTCAATTTCCCCTTTCATTTCGTCTTTCCTTTGTTTTTATATCTTCCTTTATCTCTACTTCATTTTCGAGGAAAATTTAAAAAAGTCGGGATATTTTCGTTGTATGACTGGCAACACTGCTAAGACCCCTGATATGCTGCGAGTGTGGTTCATTTGCATCCCATTTGTGCCGAATTAGTGTGGTGTAAAGATGGCTACGAGTGACATTAATGCCCAGTCTTGCAGCCTCACTTTTAATAATTCCGCGCTCAACTTTAAGACACGTATTTCGCCCCATCTACTTTCCCCTCAAGCATAAACAAATTCGAATTTCATTTAAGCACATTTCCACTTCATTAAAACGAAATATAAAACAGCGGTATAAAAATAATTATGACACACAATTGAAAACTTCAACTTTTATTAAAAATTTTTACATTCTGGGCCGAAAATCGTGTATAAATTCGAGACATTTCGTGGTTTACCTCAGTCGCTCTAGGCAAATGACGAGGCATTACCTGAAAATTGGGATTCCTACCACGTCCTTTTCGATTCATGATCTGTTAATCATCCTTCGCTACATAGGCCTAGCTAATGATAACGTTCATAAATAAATGGAATGATCAAATTTGTTTGATCAAGACAGCACACAACATCACCTACAGACAAAAGTTATTTGTTACGTTCTGTTAAAGCTATTCATAGATCGATCACACAAACATATTAATACGATACAAAGGATCGATACGTAGACAGGCAGAGACATCTTTGCGGAACTCCCTGACACAGTAGAGTTGGTTTTCGTGGTTGTATCGGTCTTTGGAATGTTATTTACATTTTCGTCATCAAGCCAGCAAACCCAAGTGTTGTTAAACAAAGCTGGATTTGAGGCTCTGTCTACACTTGTAGTTAATTCAGGAACCATTTCAGCTTTAAACCTTTCCAGTCTATTCTTCAAATTCTCAACTACGCCCGGATGTTTTGAGGCCAAGTTAACGGTCTCGCAGGGGTCTTTCTCTAGGTCAAACAGGCAATAATTCCAACAATAAGGACCTCCGATATACAACCTCTGACTCCCCTCACAACTGACCATAGCAACTGTCCTCATTTCTTCAATCTTGCCAATCAGTTGTTCCATTGTTGACGTCGTTGTGTTAATATTCAAAGCCATTATTGCCTTGGAAACAGTGCTGTTAATGACTCTAGCGCTATCGTACGGAGGATTTGGCAAGCCTCGTCCGTCTTCACCATAAAAACCATCATATACCCCATGACTCGATGTAGATCTAACAAGTTTAAAATTGCCGTTGATGATTCCTTCCATGTCGTCCAAATCGCCAATGTTCAGTAACGTTTCATTACGAGGGATATCACCATTATTCCCCATCAAAGATGGCCACTGATCAACTCCATCTATCTCGCCCAGTTTGTCAACCTCACCGCCTGAAATACAAAAAAAAACTCTTTCTGAAAATGTGGGTTTCAGATTTATTCAAATATGAAAATCTGCTTCCAAGACAGCACTAACAACACCATGGTACCACAGGAGTGATGTTTTCACATCATTAATACCATTCTGCATGACAGTCTACTGTTATACCGGGTGTCCCACTTAACGTGGAACCCGCCACGACAACATACCACAACAGCAGCGAGCGAACTACAGTGAAATGAGTTAATCACAACGCAGAACATAGCCCTCGCATCTTAGTATGTGAGTTCCGAGTTTCGTGGGACGCCCTGTATAATGACGCGTTGAGATCATGTGACGATTAATGCCATCTTGTGCTGTCAAAGGAAAGTAATTGTGACGTTAAAATAAACGAGCAATTTGAAGTAAATTAAACTTTACCTGCCATGGAATAGATTGTTGGATACCAGTCCGATATGTGCATCATCTGCGTTGATAACCTTCCCGGGTTTTGAAGTAAAGAACTCCAGACAACGGCCACTCCCCTGACCCCACCTTCGTACAGCGTGAACTTCATCTAATATAATACGTAAACCATCGTTTATAATATATAAAGTAAATATTTCACAGTCAAACGATTTGAGGAGTTTTCAGAGAAAAATTATATTATTACATTGTTCAAATAAAATTTATGGTTCTTAATATGTGTGATGTTAAGTTAAATGTACGTTTTACAATAAAGTGCCCTAATGGTGACTAAAACACTTACCCCTCTAAGTGGCCAATTGGAGCCCCAATTTTGGAGCTCACCGATTGTCGGAGCCCCGTTATCTGTCAGGAACACGATGATGGTATTGTTTAGAATTCCTTTATCCGAGAGAGCGGACACAATCTGTCCCACCGAGTCGTCTAACTTCGAAGTCATTTCTGTAATTAACATTCATCAGTATAAGAACGTATTTGGTTCAACTAACGATATGTTTAATCTATTCACCGATTCAACTACAGGCATAAATAGTACAGTACCACCTCAATGTAGAACAGTTCAGAAATTGATTGATAATGCAATCAAATCCCCGGCCTTTAATGCAACCCCAATTTAATTTCCGTATGGTGGTCTAGCGGTTAGAACGCTGGCCTTGTAATCCTGGGGTCTCGGGTTCGATTCCCGGCGGTGCCCGAATTTATAACTTGTGTTGGGCAAGGCCGTGGTCTAGGCAACACGGAGTTTTCCTCCGTGGCATCCCAACAATTACTCAATTCACACACAGAAGAAGGCAATGGAAAACCACTTCTGGATCATCTGCCAAAAACGTATATGAACAGGTCCCAGTCCGAGAAAAGGATGGAAGGATCCTGTTCATATGGACCTGTCGTCAGACAGAACACTAAATAAAATAAAAATTAAATAAAATTCACAAGAGCCCACCGTCAGTTCCTGTCTTAAGCCAGATGACAGAATGTGTAAAATTCACGCACCTGAGAAGATTCTTCTCTGAGTGTCTGGGATGTAGCTGAACTTCGTCAGGGCTTCTTCAAGGTTTGGCACTTCAAGTAACTGCGTGTTTCTAGCACTGTGAACTGCGAGATGGGACACTTCCAGGAACAAGGGTCTGCTCGTATTATGTTGCAAGATAAGACGGACCGCTTCTCGCGTGAACACATCAGTAGCGTACTTTCCTTTCTCTGCCCACGACACGTTCATATCACGGCGGAGGTCGTAACCTAGAAAATCCTGCAAATTGATTGTTTCGGGTTAAATATGGAAACTTGCACCTTAAATGGTCGACTAACTTTCACGAAATATTTTGCCATATAAAACCCACGAATGCTCTGTGAGCGATATGAGGGTATACAAAAGTTAAAGCAGCTGGTATACATAGTTACCACTGACCTACAAGATTTTTTTTTCTCTCATCCAAATATTTTATAAGTTTCGTTTGAATTATATGCGTTAAGATATATCAAAATAGCAACAACAAAAAGTGTGAATGGTTACAAAGCCCCATCTTATTCCATCTACAGCATCGTCTCGATTTAAAGATACCTGACCCCACCACGACGTAGCAAGCCGCAGCATGGACGAATGAATACAGCGATGTTGTCAAATTGATATACGGACGTCAGATGACAATGTGTGCGGTCAGAAGTTCAAAAGGTCAGCTTGTACACCCCGAGAACATCAAGAAATGTCATTGTAGTAAACCAGTATTAAAGGAATAGAGCTGGCAACGTACCTGATAAACTCATGGCTTGGCAAATGCTGTCTGGCAACAGCGACTCGATAAGTTTAAGGTCACATGAACAACAATTTTATCAGCATTTCATACTAACGTCTTGGTCTATCATGTAGTCGAAGTAATCGATATATCCATTCCAGTACCCGAAATGGGAATCGAATCCTCGTCTTGTGGGCGTGTATTCGGACCGCTGGCATCCGAGGTGCCATTTTCCCACAAGCCTCGTGATATAACCGAGGTCCCTCAGCCTTTGGGGCAGGGTAGTCTCCTCCAGTGGCAGTCCTCGGGGTTCGCCACACCTCAGAGGTCTGCCTTGCATCCCTGCAACGTGAGAAATCACGTTTTTCCCCCATTCAAATTAGAGTAAACTTTCGAAAAATAATTACTCTTCACTCCTAATACCCTTAATTCATTAATGATTCTTTAGCGTGTTTTATTTTGCTGACAACACTCAATTTTCCAAACGTTTCCTTCACGAATTTGTGTTTTTCATCGGTGCTGATATTAATTTATCGCAGATATCGAAAATGTTTCAAATAAAAAAAAAATTGTAGATTTAATCTAATCTGAATATGGAGACAGTACGTTCCGCCGAAACGTTGCTGTCTATCTACAAGTTTACATAGCGTGACAACTGAGAACAACATCAAAACGATAATGAAGGTTCGGATTAAGAAAGGTATGTAATTTATTGATCAGCTGAACGACTACAAGCTTCTCAGAGAGAGCTCTGCTCCATGGTGTGAGTCAGCTGTTTTGAAACTATCCAATGAACCGAGTTAATTCTGGAATCGGCTTAAAATCCTGGTAATGTCATGAAGGATATTAAACTTCAAGATCTTTGACCTACGTGGTTTAAAATAATAAATTAATAATTGTTTCTTCAATTTCATTTATTACCCGAAATAAAAGGACCACCTACGTAGGGACTTGAAACATCTACTAGGATTATTAATCGTTTATCTCGACATCTGTTTCGTGGCATCCAACAGAGAAGACGCTTGCATATTTGCACATACCTGTTCTGATAGGATATTTCCCTGTCATGAAAGCAGCTCTAGACGGCGTGCAAATAGGTAGTGTGTAATGGCGGTTCAGAACGACGCCGTTGTAAGCCAAAGCGTCGATGTTTGGCGTAGGGATTTGGTCTGAACCGTGAAACCCTACATCATTCCACCCCTGCAAGCAGAAAGTCCCACATAATTTGAAACAAAACAAAAAATACACTCCGCTGGAGTATGACGCCCTCCCTTTGAAACCGAAGGCTCGTCTAAATATTACTTAAGAATTCAGCCCGTACCGCGAAGAAAACACAGCCCGTCACCGTTACAGAGATAAATTTGTTAACGCTGTTTAAGAAAATAATCCACGTTATGCTGTGAATCATGCGAAATCCATAAATAAACTATGGTCAAAAGCAGAATTATACATTGTTTAAGCAGGTGGTACGTATAATTACCTCCAGACTTTAAATGGATAACGTAGGCCTGTATAACACATCGATGGGTGAGAAAGTTTTTCGTTCTAAAGACGCAAAAACAGATTGATTTCTAAATAGGATGCTGAGAAGAATATTTTAAACTATGAGACGATCAACTGGAAGACACGACGAGGGGCTTCATAATTTGTAATCCTCCCCCCCCCTCCCCGTAGCACTACGGCAATAGAATTAACGAGGATTAGATCGCAGGTTATGTAGCAGTCATCGGAAAATTAGCAACAAATATAAAATTATAGTGTGATAACCTGAAGGAAAGAGCTTATTTGTTAGAACTAGACATCGATGGGATAATATGGTGTGAGGAGGTAGAGTGGATTAAATTGGCTCAGGATAAGTTTCTGTCGCGTGCCCGTACGAAAATGGCGATAGATTTCATAAAAGTGGCGGAATTTGGACCAGTTGAGGAGAGATTATTCTCAAAAGGAGAGACTGCTTAGTCGACTTCTGACGAGAACTTTTTTTTTAATAATGAAATTAAGCTTACCAGGTCATCAGCCATAATTACGACGACGTTTGGTCTTAAAGCGACACACACTGAAGACGTTATTAACACGGAGATCACGTCGAATGATGATAACGTCCATGCCATTTTACCGATGAAGTAAAGAAATTTCAGTAATCAAATACGAGCAGTCGCCAATTTCTCATTAATTAAAACTTAAAATTACTGCACAGTCTACATTACAGACCACACCTGGTATTTGCACGTTTTAAATGTAACCAACTTCCCTACTGTAGTCCTACCAAATGACGTACAATTAGTCACGTGACATGTGCATTACTTGCCAACTTATTGTCTCGTAACCGGACTGATAAGTCCTTCCTCAAGTGCTATAGCAAACAGCTTGTTTGCTGAAGAATGACAACCACTAATTGTTCTGAAGTCCGATTACATTTTACAACAGACACTAAAGATTAGCACCATTGTAATTGGGAGTGCCTACTAAATTTTAAATACATTTAACACTCGACTTTAAGCTGGGCCAACTAACGCATTTTACAGTTCAATTTAACGTATGATAAGGAAGTAGTCTGAACTACAAACCTTAATACTAAGTCTGCACAAATTCAGTGTAATTTAAACTGGATTAAAGTAAATGCTGGCAATTATAAGATCACGTATTTTATGGTAGAAGGATAAAAGACTCGTTTGTATACAAGATTATTCTCTACCTACACCCAGAGGCGAAATTTCTTCCATTATTCGTGCTTTCCAAATCCTCTTTCTTGTTTTTTTTTT